TTAGTTGCTGAGGCCATTGAATCGAAAAGAAGAAGAAGAAGAGATCTTTCGACGCGCGTTTGGTCAGTTAGCACAATCAGGAGATGACTAGAACTAAAACATCTCAGATGTGTGAACAAGATGAAGTACTCATTTCAATGATAAAATTACGACTTGATGTCACTAGTGAGTGGAATCTACTCATGTCACAATGACAGTACGTAATAACATTCATTCGTCTATTTGATTCAGTCCCAGTCATTGAATGATTGACGTTTCACTACAACTTCTCCTTGTTTTCTATTTTTACGATTATCGTTTTTTAGAATTGTTTTCAGTGGATGTTTACATCGATAAATACTCGAATAGCTGCAGAAAATGAATGAATGAATGTTAAACTGACCACCCGAATGATAATGATGCTAATTTGTTAATATATTTATCATAAAATTGAATTTATAGCTGTTAAAATGGCGATAACACCGATAAATCTTGATTGAGCAATGAATTATGAGATTTGAATAATAAATTATATAGCTCGTGAACGGCTACCACAAAATAACAACAATTTTCGCGGAAACGTCGATATATGGTAATATAAATAGTAGCAGGGTATTATTAGCGAATCAAAACGAAGGCGATTTAATACGATTCAACACGCTAAATCAATTTTCACCTCGACTTTCTCGTTTATTTGTCAGCAAGAACAGTTTCGTTAAGGAAATTTTCCATTATCAGCGGGAAATGGCTAATCTTCTGAAATGTAAATCATCGCACATAGAGAATCAATTTTTGTATTGGATTGAATTTTAAACCAACTATTGAATTATATATCAAATATACAGAGCAAGATATTTTTCGCCATGTGAGGTGCGAATGAGAGTTTGGTATCAAAGAATACTCCCTTTGCAGCTGTCTGTTATTACCAGTAAATAATCATGTATCGAATAATTGTGGTCAATAGTGGTATGTTTGTTACAAAGGGTGGTATATTCACATTTACTTGAATTGAGTGGAAGATTGTTTGAAGAGCTAATTTATTCGAATCATTTTGTAGTATTTCATTGTCATTAGGTGACCATTTTGTCCGTTTCACAATATTTCTTCATCAGTGCCTGGTGTTCGTGGGGTTAGGTGAGGTAGTGAGTGGTTTTGCAAACCGATTTATGAAAACTTTTTCTAGAGAGCAATTACCCTAACACCAAACTGATATTTTTGCACTCGACGCGCGTTTCGCTAACAAGGTTAGCAAAGTTGATACTGAATCTAAAAACAAGGGTAAGCTGTTTATATACCTAAAGTTTTTTGGTCCGATGTGGACTTAGTTTGTTAAATGATGTTTATCCTAATTGATTTTTCGGTAATTAACTAGTGGAACCACTACCTGCAAATTAGTTTAACAACAATAGATTAAAAAGCGGACAAATTCAACAACAATAGATTAAAAAGCGGACAAAACACTGTTTTCCTCTCCAGTAGAACAATATACTATACTGATAGAGGTGCCATATGTGAAAATATCTATTTTTACGAACTAAGAAACATCATTCAACGATATTCGATCTAATTATAATTCGACTTTTGTGTATATGTCCTAATTTGAGATCGGAGACCACTCAACTACACATGTTTGTGCGATTAATTGAATGCAAACAATGTGGGAGTATTCACATGTAAACTGAATAGGAAAATAATTATTATGATTGGAGGTATTAGCACGTAGGCAGCTAATTTTGCAGCTAATACCATAAATCACGTGGGAGTACTTTGTGTTGACGGATTTAACTGATTTGCAAAACACTAGAAAAGTGTATTGTATTTTCAGTACTGAGAATTCATACATTGAAAAGGGTATTTGGCTGGGATTATGTACTACTCTGTTGAAAAAATGAGGTGCATTTTCAATTTTGTCCTGAAAATATTTATTAATTCATCAATTTTTATTTTATCCTTTTCCTCAGATGTAATACACTTGTGCCAGCATTTTTTTTAATTCTCGAAGTAGTTCTGATTTGCACTCTTTGGTACATCCCTGAGGTCTCTCAGCGATTCGGTTTTTATCTCCTCAATCGTCATAAAACACCGACTTTCATAAGGAAAAAGTCGCAGGGGTCCAAATATACGGTATATACGGTGGCTGAGGCATAATTACGGTGTTGTTTTTGGCGGAGAAATTAGGAGCAAGAAATGACGAGTGAGGATGATGCAAAAACCATTAATTGTTTTTCCACAATACCGGACGTTTTTTTCGTATTGCTTCTCGTAAGCGGCACATAACTTCAAAGTAATACTCCTTATTGTCTGTACGACCATGTAGCTAAAACTTCTGATGCACTACTACACGGTAATCGAAAAAACAGTTAGCTAAACGTGGACATTTCATAGAACTTGGTATGCTTTTTTGGTCATGCTTCTGCTGGGCTCTTCCATTGGGACGATGTCATAAACATATATCCATGATTCGTCACTAGTTATGACCCTTTCAAGTAAATCTGGATCATTGGAAAAAATTCAACAACTTTGGAACGAATTTCGCTGCTTTTTGTTGGATTTTTGCCTTTGGGAAGTGCCCATTGTCCTTGAGGATCCACATTTTATCACACGTATCCAAAATAGAATCGTTTTGGTTGCGCAAAAGAAAAGAAGAACAGAACTTGAAACGTGATCATTTCTGTCGATCGTTCAAATCGTGGGGCACCCACTTTCCGAGCTTTTTAACCTTTCCAATACGTTTTAGACCAAAGGGGTATTTGGCTGGGATTATGTACTACTCTGTTGAAAAAATAAGGTGCATTTTCAATTTTGTCCTGAAAATATTTATTTATTCATCAATTTCTATTTTTTCCTTTTCCTCAGATGTAATACACTTGTGCCAGCATTTTTTTTTAATTCTCGAAGTAGTTCTGATTTGCACTGTTTGGTACATCCCTGAGGTCTCTCAGCAATTCGGTTTTTATCTCCTCAATCGTCATAAAACACCGACTTTCATTAGGAAAAAGTCGCAGGGGTCCAAATCTGGTATATACGGTGGCTGAGGCATAATTACGGTGTTGTTTTTGGCGAAGAAATTAGGAGCAAGAAATGACGAGTGAGGATGATGCAAAAACCATTAATTGTTTTTCTACAATACCGGACGGTTTTTGTATTGCTTCTCGTAAGCGGCACATAACTTCAAGGTAATACTCCTTATTGTATGTACGACCATGTAGCTAAAACTGCTACATGGTCGCAGTTTCGCTGCTTTTTGTTGGATTTTTGCCTTTGGGAAGTGCCCATTGTCGTTGAGGATCCACATTATATCACACGTATCCAAAATATGATCGTTTTGGTTGCGCAAAAGAAAAACAGAACTTGAAACGTGATCATTTCTGTCGATCGTTCAAATCGTGGGGCACCCACTTTCCGAGCTTTTTAACCTTTCCAATACGTTTTAGACCATCAAAAACCGCATGGGAGCTGACGCCCAAGTAATATAGCTGCAAGAGTTCTATGATATTCCTTATGCAAAAACACGTGCAAATTAGAGCAGGTCTACTCTGGCGATTTTTGGACATCAGGCCCAGTTAACAAGGAAGGTACAAAGGTCCGCGCCTCGTCTCTGCCAGACGTCCATTCTGTGTGAATTGGGCCTTAGATTTTCAGAGCCCACTCCTCCAATTTTGCCGTCATACAGTCGACCAATCAGAAGCTACCGCGCGTACGGCGGGAAATTCAAATCAGTAGATGAACAATGTATGTACGAGCTCAAAATCGCATGAATTTTCTTATGAAGCTAAACTTTTAGCTATTTTCATTGACATCGATTACGTCACACGTTTCTCTCTCCCACTCTCTGAAACACACCAACCTCGAGTTGGGTGTTCCACAAGGTTCCGCTCGAATGTCATGAAGAGTGCTAAAAGTTTAGCTCCATAAAAAATAATGGGATTTTGAGCTCGTACCGGCCTTGTTCATCTACTGATTTAAATTTCCCGCTATACGCGCGGTAGCTTCTGATTGGTCGATTGTATGACGGTAAAAGTGGAGGAGTGGACTCTGAAAGTATAATAATTCACACAGAATGGACATCTGGGAGAGGCGAGGCGCGGAACTTTGTCCCTTTCGTGTGAACTGTGCCTGAGATCCAAAAATCACCAGAATGGACCTGTACGTGTTTTTCCATAAGGAATTTCATAGAACGGGTCATTCTCCACCAGGATCCTCAACCTGGATCACTGTAAGTCGACCACTTCGGGGTTCATCTTCGTGGCTAGAGTCTCCGAAACGGTTAGTTTTTCGTGCTGTTTCGGCAGCGTGTTGATCCAATTTGAATTCGTAATGAAAAATTGGCCTAAAATCGGTCAACAACATCACATAGTAACAAGCTGAGGCAAATTAGAAAAAAATGAATATCATCAATGTATGGTGTACAAAATTCTGACAAATATTCATTGAGACTCAAATATATTTGTAATGTACTGTTTGGAACCATTGCTGTAGTAATGAATATTTCTGGAGTTTAATCCCAACACCAAATGGTTATTTTCAACACCTCGACACGTGTTTCTACCACCAAGTGATCATCTTCAAGAGGAACATGAAACTTCCTCTTTAAGGTGATCACTTGGTTATTCAAACACGTGTCGATGTGTAAAAAATAACGGTTTGGTGTAATATTCACTTGAATATAGTTTAGAACGTAAATAATAATACCTTATTTTTTGGCGATAATTATATTTGTCGTGCCAACTGACGAGAATTGAAAAGTGATACCTGACACGCAAGCATTGCCGTTGCGCCCGATAATATCATCGAGAGTGAACATTATAAGCTTTAAGGGTTTTTCGCAATGGCACAAAGCTTTTTATTGGATGTTGACTACATGATAACAATTATGTTATTGGACTTAGTGAATAATTCATTTGACAAGTAAAATATTTTCTTTGTATAACGAAACTTGTGTGAAAGTATTGATTGACGACTTCATTGAGGTTTTTTTTTCTTTCGGTTGAAAAAAAATAAAAAAAAATGTTTTGTTTCAGATAAAGGCTTACGAAAAATTAGAATGTCACGAGGAGAGGCTGAAGTGCGCCAAGGATATTTACGACAACTACATTATGAAGGAACTTTTATCAAGGGCATATGTAAGTCACCATATTATGTTTTGATTATTAAGTTATTTTCTCGCATTAGTCTGTTTCACAGACGACATTTTATCGGAAAGTCTTAAAATTATGATCAACTGTCATTCGATTCGATGGCACTTAAAACTTGATGAAACTTTCGAGGAACGGCTACCAAAAATCATAAAAGTTAAGAATAATTGGGTGAAATTGAATATCTGTTTGAAAAAATTCCGTTTGAAATTTATTGTCCTTTANGCATCCCTACGAACGACAGCCCTCAGAAATATAAACTTGTACGAGCTAAAGATTAACGAGGTCTTACCTTTTAACGTGTGATTCTCAATACGAGTTGGACGATAGCAAGTGAAAATCGATCGTTCAGGCTAGGGCATGAACCACCGACCAACACGGCAGTCAATTCGAGTGAGTGAACAAAGCACCCTCGTCGAACCGACCGGCTACCGACCGACCCGAAAACAATTTTAGAAATATGGAAATAGATCCTTAAAAAACAGGATCTATCATTGGATCAGTGTAGGTTGAGTATGCGAGTATACCGTGAAAGGGGAAGAAAAATATTTCTAGAAATTACAGATCAGCTTTACCAATCAACTACATTTATATCATCTGCTGATGAATTAATTGAAGTGAAAAGTGATGAAGATTTTTTCTTTTTGGGTTTCAGTCCTATTTGAATTTAACTGGAGTTTTTTCCCAATACCAGACCGTTATTTCAACACCTCGACACGTGTTTCGATCACCAAGTGATTATCTTCAAGAGGAAGATTCAACTGTTTGATGTTCCTCTTGAAGATGATCACTTGGTGATCGAAACACGTGTCGAGGTGTTAAAATTACGGTTTGGTGTTGGGAAAAAAATCCAGTAATATTTATATTGAGGTATGTTCAATGTTGTATGGACTTCATTCAATATTTCCGATGTTGAGTATATTTCAGATTTTCTATTCAGGCATATGTTTTTCACCACATACAAGCATCTAATGCTTCGTGTTTTTTTATATTTATTTGTATTTCCTAGATGTAATTTCTGTAATTCTATTTCAGTACAAATAAATCATTATTATCATTATATATCATCTGCGCTGTATGAGCTCTGTTTTTGTTTCGTGACGTCAAAAATATTCCGAGACCCCCTGTACTAAACTTACTCATTTCGCTACCACATTAACTGTTTTATAAGAGCTCCATTCTTCCTTAGCAGGTAAGAATCCGCGATTATAAAAGCCTGGGGTTGTGATGTTCAACGGGACCATGATGAAAGGCAGGAAAGCCTTGCTTCCAACCGTAGCAAAGCCTTTGCCGTTAAAGACTGATTAAACGCCAACTGTGGATGGAGTCGTTTTCACTACTCCTCTTTCTTTTTCAGGATTACTCAAAGGAATGTCTGGAACACGTTCAAAGCCACGTAGCGAAACACGAAGTCCCCGTCACTCTTTTCGAGGTGAGTGATAACTTATTCATAGGGTCAAATGAGATGGATTTGTTTTTGATGATGGCCGAGATTACTTCTTCAAAGGAGTGGGAGTTGATGTCTCTCGCAGTAGGTACTTGAGTATATGAGGCGAGGGTTTATGCTGTTTTTTACTATACATCGTTATTATCTATAACGGTTATTTTTGTACCGAGGACGGAAAACTGTCTATTATAGTCGGGCTTGCAAATTTATTGACAGTTAATGAAAAGAGAAATGAAAATTTCTATGTTTTTAACCACTTTTAATTGTAACTAACGTTACTGCAGGTTCGTCCTATATGGACATTCTCAAACTAATCTAACTAATCTAATCTAACAATGATTCATTACATTCGCCAATATATACCATTCAGGTACTTGATTGAGTACCTGAATTTACAGTTCCCAATGCGGATGTGCCAATTTAAAAACCGGAGAGTAAATTAAATCCATTTAATCATTTAACAGGTTGCACCCACGATGTTTATGCTTGTAAATTTCCAAGGTTTAGATTCGGAAACTTGTGGTTGCATACCAAACACTATTACACTCCGGACACTTAAGCTTATAAACTCCAGACTTTTCCAACTTGTCGACCTTATCTTTGGCATTCCGTTTTTTCGGAAGAAACCTGCGATTATTTCTGTTCTTTTTCCAAAATATGTTAGCGTTACCCATTTCTTGATTTCTGGTTGTTTGACCTGAGGATACATTAATCTGCAAGTGAATTTCCGGCTTTGTTTCCTGACTAACTTCTGGATAGTATCTGCGTTGAAACCAAAAGTCCAGAAGTGTTTTCATCGTTGGCCTGTGTATTGATCTTAATTCATGCTGTCCAAGAAGATGTAAGAGAAATTTTCTAGTTTGGGTACTTGATACAACTTCAGGTACAGGTGTCTAATATGATATAAAATGATTTTAAATCCCTGAAAATATCAATAAAATTAAAAAGATTATCCAAAAAATAACAAGCATATTAAGCAAAAAACTAAAATTACAGTGAAATGAAATACAAGCATACAAATACAAGGAATTCTGAACTAATGAAATGCACCATGAAACATCGCCAATTATCTTCAAACAAATAGTAATGATAATAATATAGTTCGTCAATATTTTTCGCATAAAACTATGATTATGATGTATTGGAAAGACAAATAAACAAATACAATGACCTACAAAATAAATAACTTGTAGAAAATAACTGATATCTTGAGTAACAATATATGTGAACTGTATTTCCTGTGACATGAATTTGAATGTTCTTTTGCGTAATTTTGGTAAATAGAGAGAGCAAATTACATCATTGAAAAATTGTCTAGATATTTCAGTAATCCACTTTTTAACAATCATTTCGAATTTAAAAAAAAAAAGTATTACGTCAATATTGCTGGGAATTTTGTCATATATGTTCGAAAGGGAATATTGATTATTTTATTGCCCTATTGATTCATTACATTTAAATTATTGTGAATTTGTCTCATTTCTTTGTTGTATATAAATATGGTTGTGGAATCGAATTTTATTTCTATTTTTAATTATATGCATGAGAATATCATAGAAAAACAATTGGTAGATATCCATTTTCTCAATTTCTGTATATAACTAGTCAGTATCTATTATCTTTATTGAATATTATTTTTAGCAAATACTTGTAACTTCCAGTTTTTGTATTCAAAATAACATCACTGAAAATTTAACTTCAGAAAGATATTAATCACTACTTTCAGCAATGATTGGCAATTCCATATACGGATATTCTTGGACGAGTTCTAAATCAACTAAATCAACAACAAAACTGAATACTCAGAAATCCCCAACCCGATATCCGGAATAACAATTTGAATGTTTGAGGTTCCGCCTCATAAATGATGGAAATGGGGCAACCTAGTTATATGTAATACACTAATGTAGTTTGTTGCGGTACATTTGTAATTCAGTTCAAAACGTTAGCGTAAATTTCTGGATACGATGCAAAATATTTACTAGTTGTATGTACTGAAAGCCATCGGTATGTTTATTTTTCATATAAATGGAACGACGTAAAATGTATACACATCAACAAAGTTTCAGGATATCTTGATAAACCTTCGATAATGGCATTACATACTTGTTGAATAATTTCAACACCTCAGATCATACTTCAATTAGTTTTACCGGAAAAAAAATTATTCTATAAAATTGTAATTGCGTGTATTGTTTCTCGCGCATTTTATAGCTAGTTATTTATTCATTCAACCAATTTTTTTAGCTCTATTATTAACTATGTTTAAAAACTGTTGAAGAAGTCAAAGAGTGTTATTATTAATTTAATCAACCATTTTCGGTAGGTATATTATGAACATATGGTAAATCAATAATTGTACTGTACAGTGCATGTCTTTAATGTCCCCCCTTTTATTTTTTGAACGGATCAACTCAAAAAATTTAAATTTGGAATTATGAAATTAATGCATGAATACTTTATTTTGAAGTGAAATTGACAGATGAAACTTTGAAGACAGTAGCGGCTCGTGCATTGGAGAACGGGGAAGGCTAAAGTCATAAAGACTATATACACACAGAAAAGCCCGCCGGAGGCGCGAAATTTTTTATGTTGTTGCACGCTTTGCTCAATACTAAAGTTAGGGCATGGGCATGGCAATGTGTAAAAAATGCATGAGGAGCTATGGACTTTATTTTAGTTTGTAAACCGTTTAAATGGCCGGTCATGACCGGCGCCCCATCATAGGTTTGCGCAATTAACTTTTGCCTAAAATTATAGGTGTCACACGTACGAATTAAAAAATTAAACAGATCGTCAGCTGTGCGCCCAGATGAAACATCATGAAAACCCATAAATCGTTCTACCACATTACCATCTTTAACATATCTAAAAACGATTGAAAGTTGTGATGTACAGGTAATATAGGTAGTTTCATCAATTTCCCATGCAAAAAAATAAAGACTTTCAATCTCCTTGCTTATTTTTTCCCTTATAATATATGCCACACTGTCTATAAGCTCATTTTGGATGGTTTTTGAAGTGCCCGAAAAAACGATACCGTTTAAAAAGTGCCAAATTATGAATCATATTTGCCCCATAACATTAAAAGTTCCTTGTTATTGCCGCGAATAATCGAATCTTCGGTTTCATCATGTACACGAAAAGCTAATTCGACCGATTTTCCCTAACCTGATTATTAAAAGAAATTATGGCCTCTTTTTGAGCTGTATCTAAAGCTGTTGCTATATTTTGTTTGCTAAACAATTTTAATTTACAAGACGAAAATATATGCTTCTTAGATTTAAAATGTCTTTCTGTAGAAATCGGAGTATCACATTTTAGACCACGTTTGGTATTCGGTTTGTATGGAAAATAAAACACAGGGTCAACCAAAAAGTTTTTCTCGTTTAATGGAGCCGGTTAATCAATCGCATTTATCGTACCAACTAATATTAAATCCTCGATTTTGTCGATTATCTGACGTTTTAATTGAAATCAAATTTGGTTGAGGCCTTCCCAGAGTAAAACACATTAAAAATATTACCAAAAAGCACTGCTATAATTCAATACTGCCTGTTCTACTGCCGATATACCGAAATATTTTTCAGTCCCGGTCCGTCACGGCATCCCGTCCGAATAATTAAATAAAAAACAAACGCAGTCGTACACTAACGGAGACCAACTGGAGGCTAGCCTCCTCTAACGCTATAATTTCTGCAACTAAAATTGCAAATCGGGTTGGTCTCGTGGAGCCTGTGTATTTTAAAGCGATCGGAGGCTTGGCTCCCTTGCAACGTTTGGCATGTATTATTTCGGGTTGATGGTTTATTCGTTATTCGTTCATGGACAGTGCGTTTGAGTTCTGTTGATGCAGGATACAGTGTAGTACGTACTACGTAGTGAGTGATAGTGTTTTTTCGAGCATATTATGTATTTATATTAAAAATTAATGGTAAAGTAATGATAACCAAGCATTTTTAGAAAAAAAAATAATCATAATTATTTGTCAATATCTTTCAGTTTATTGCGATGAATAGCCTCAAATTTTATGGGGAGGCTGAGCCTCCCTTGCCTCCTTTGAAGAGCCGCCGCTGTCAAGGTGGTGACAGGGCGCCATCTGGGAATAAGAATTAAACGGTAAGGGGGGGTTTTGTGAAACATAATTTTGAAGCTACTGACGAATACTTCACAACCCTAGAATATGAAGTCAATATCTTCACCTACTACAAAATGGCGGAACATTTAATAATTTCCTGAAAACAAACACATTAATATCGATATTTCTAGAAATATTCCTTCTTATCTGCTATATGGCAATTTCAACAAACCGATTAGGTTTGTTAAGTAATTTTTTGTTTATAAAAACGACAAAAAATGTCAGTACGACAATGAACATTATTGTTCAGTTAGAATATTCTCATTTAGTTTTCAGTTTTACTAGTAGAAAGATACCACGATATGTAGTTAAATGTCAATGTATTGAGGCAATTATTAAAAGTTCCGCCATTTTGTAGTAGTTGAATATATTTACATTATATTCTAGGGGGGCATTAAAAAAAAGCACTGTATAATTAATACATATAAAGAATGGAAACAATAGTTTGTCATACTTGAATAAAAAATTAAAGAAAAAAGATAAAACATAAATATAAAAACATAAATAACGGTACATAATATACAAATGTTACAATTTTTGAAGTAACAAGTACATATATTATTTCACATTGGGAAGTTTCATTGCGAATTATCAACTCAATAGTCTTTCAAACTTTTCTATTGAGAATATTTTCGTATTATTCTTAATAATTTCATCTGGTTCGGACTCCCTGATTACGAAATCGACTGCCTGGGATTCTCCTGCACACTCTCACAGACAGCGACAGCGACTGTATATCTTGCGTTTAGTCGACGTACGGGTATTAGTCGATCTTTCACTGAACCAGTTGACTCAAATTTATCCACCACATTGCGAATAGTCCTTTCGATAGAACGATTATGGCGATCGTAAAAGAAGTTAAGCGCGCGGTACGTTGCCCGAATAGAACACCCATTTCAAATAGTTGGCCATTATCAATTATCAAATTTCGGAAGTTTCTTAGAAGACCGTATATATTGCGTATAGACAATCGAATTTCTAAAATTTATTTTCACATGTTGATATTGTACTTTTTCTTTTTCAGCCTTACATAGAAGAAATTTATAATCAGTTAAGGGACGAACCATTTAAAAAATTTTTAGAAAGGTAAGCCGTAGTGTCTATAATGCATGTATCATTTCAAATCAAAGCTTTCGTTTAGAACAGAGCCTGGATATTTGCCAATTACCTCAATACTGTTTTTATCTTTCGTAATTATCTCTTGTTTTTATGCTTCCCGAAACTGTCACTGTAATTTAAAATGATCTGATAAGAATATTGAATCATTGACAACTGAATGATTTGGAGGAAATAATTTTCAGTTTTTAACGGGCGTTTATTCGATGAAAATAAATGATGAACGTTTACTTCGGAAAGGCTACTTAAAATTTAATTCTGCCGAAGACAGACTGCTATACGAATGTTTCCCTAGCTTTTAGAATTTTCAAGAGCTTTAATATTCGTTTTTCTTGATAGGGAGTGATATAATTTCTTTGAGTAGATAAGCGAACATTCGGTAATGAAAATTTTATTAATTGGCATATTTTAAAAGTGAGATATTTAGCGGAAATGAATATGAAATATAAAATTGTTTGACTATATGCAGTGTATTTCATCTAAATTTCATTAGAACTATGAAATGAAGAGATTTTCAAAAATGTTTCGAATTTGTTCAAAAAAATCTGTTCAAAATCTGTTTTTCCGTTAATCAGCTGCCGCCCCCATACGAACGACAACTCTCAGAAGTTGAGAAACTTGTGCTAAGTAAGGACNCCTATAATTATAATTTCATTACTTATAATTACCTATATTTACCCGATATGTTATATTATCACTCCTTTGTATGAGTTTTTTATGAATGGTCACAACACTCCAAAAAGGAGGCAACACGCGGACACGTGTTTCTGGCTATTGGCCTCATCAGCGCGGTGCAGCCAAGTGTAAAGATGGGCTACACGTGTTTGCCGAAAGCAGGAAACAACAAGCAAGGAGTCAACAACAGGAGCCAATCGCACATTTGTGGTTCCAGTTAGTGGTCCTGCAAACGCCATTTTTCATTTCAAATGTTAAATATTGTGAAAATTAGACAAGAATAAATAAATATCGAATGAATTATGGAGCTCTAAAAAGTAATGACATTGAAGTGGACAAAAGTTTCGAAGCAACCTTATGAATTAAGAATGTAGGTATTCAATTAGCCTGATGTAACCGAGTAGTAATTCATACCCCATTTCCAATATCACCACACACTGTTTAATGATTCTGAATATCGATTTTCGTAATTGATATATGGATTCTCATCGTTGTTATTGATGAAGTTGAATAAACAAACGACTTATTGTGAATTACACATCATCAACCCGAACTGTATTATGTGGAGAATCATTTCATAACCCTCGCTTCCCACTGAGAGAAACTCATGATGTATTTATAGTATTCTCTGCATTTGAACCCAGGCAATGTTGTATGGTTGAAATGTGATCCATCTTCATTATTGTTTCATCCAATGATAGATGCTTTGATACCCATAAATGTCATTGTTGAAAGATACCAAAGTGGATTGGAAAACACATAACTTTCGTCCAAAGAAGCTTGGTTGAAGTGTATGATTTATTTATGAAAACTGGAAAACGAAAGATACACATCTTTGATGGAAATTTATTTTTATACAACTTCATTACAAAACTTTAACTCGTTGTGTAAGTGAAATTCAAATAATTTTTTCATCTTCAATTATTTACTATAGGGTGTTTCAAATTCGATCCTCACCATTGGAAATCGGAAACTATGAGAGATACAAAGATGGTTAAGTTGGGTAAAAAGTTGCGCATTTACTTGACTAACAATATGTCTTTCAGAAAGTGCTGAAATTCCGAGTATATTCGGAGATATCCGGAAAAAACAGAAATTTCGGAAAGTGGTTTAATTTTTTTCTGGCTTTATTTTTCGAATGATTCGAAAATAAATTGCACTTCCACATGGCCACTTTTTACCTGCTAAATGGTGACATAATGGTGTTTTCAGATTTCCTGTCCGACGTTTCGTCTTCCGGAAATAGTCTTCGAAAATCGATATTTAAAACTGGTGTTTATTCTCCATTCAAAATTCCGTCAAATAAATGTCCCAAAATTCTATCTTTGTAAATTCCTGCCACACGTTAATACTAAATCGCACTTGAGGTCGAATTTCTCGGAACTGCCTGAGGTTGTTTATGATCCAAATGTGTTCATTATTTCGGTTGAATATCACACAATTCGTAAGAGTGCTTTCATCTGTCTAAATTATCAGGTCTTTTCATTAGCCAATTACAAAATTGTAATCGCCTTTCATGATCACCTAGATACAATTTTTGTATTTTAGACACATCAAAGTCAAAGCCTATTATGATAAGAATTAATTTTTTTCAATATCCCAATGGTGAGGATTGAATTTGAGGTTTGCCCTTTTTTGTGTCGTATGTTTTTGTAGCTCTATTATTTTGGAAAACGTAGCCTTTTAAAATTAGTAATTCTGGACAAAAAGTATTTGAAAAACTTCAACTGAACTTCATACTCAAGTGTCTATCGCCGTCGTACCGCACTTTCAACTAGACTATCCTCATCTGCCTGTTGGTAGTGATTGTATATCTCGATGGAAGTCTTCGAAAGCCTATTTAGTTGTTCTCGAAGCGACGCGACACCTAGAACTATCAAGAAACACAAGTAGAGTTGAGAGCGACCTTGGCCAAGTCGCAGTCGACCGGTAAAGACCAGCGACGACCAACGTTTTTTTTTCGGGTAATAGCACAATATTTCAAATACTTTTTTATTTTTGAAAGTTTATATAGGTAATTGTCAAAAAGATTCTCATCCTATTCATAAAAGGTGTCCAATAATATGATTTATTTTAGCCACCTTCAAGCGGAAGATGATTACTTGGTGATCCAAACACGTGTCGAGGTCTTGAAAATAACGGTTTGGTGTTGGAATAAAACTCCAGTAATATTCATTATACCAAAGGTGCCAAATAGTGCATCATAACTCTATTTAATCTGACTAAAAAATTCACACGTAACAGGCTCTATGGGTATTGCGTCCTGAGTTAGGGCTTTTTAGAGTTTTTTTATAGGAAAAAGCTCATACATGAATCCGAACCTAATGTGTACAAAAATAATTTCTATTTGTGGCGCACAATCTTCTATACCTAATGTATGATGTCTGAATCAGAATGTTCAGCGACTTAAAATTATCTACAACTCATTTTATTTCATAAGTTTCACATATTTTTCATTCCTATTTGTTACCGCAGTATCCGCCATTTCAAGCACCTTCGCCAATTTGTTATCCCATTTTGTTCGCCAAATAATCAAATTCCTTCGCCATTTCGTTAAATTAATACTCACTATTATATATCAGTTTTCCAATTAGGTCTATATTTTCATTGAAACTCCACAGAACATTACTTGCCATTCGAAATTCAAGTGTTTTCTTTTCCGAAGTAATTATACTATTTCTCGTTTATTAGTTGTTCGATAACTTTTAAACACATCGTGGTTTAGTTGGAATTTCCTTGATATATTTGACTTCAACCCAATGAACTGATATACTTTATAATGTTGCTCAAGAAATGAGTTTTCTAACATCGAATAACATTGAACACACTATACTGATACTTTCTTTTGTTTCAGTGAAAAATATACTAGGTTTTGTCAATGGAAAAATTTAGAATTGAATATACAGGTGAGTTCATTTATAGCTATTAGTATTGAAAATAATCTGCATATTGTTGGTTTTTCTCTATTGTTTTTTGGCCACCCACAATTTGAAAATATCAAGGTAATTATAGAAATTCTCATCTGAACCCTGAATATTTGCATTGATATAATCAACGGAAAATTATATTAAAAAGTTTCTCAATTGATGTCTACTTGATTGATGTATGGAATATGAACACCGAAATGAGGATAAAGACTCAATGAAATTTTGCAAATTGGCAAGGAAACAATTTGAAGTTGTACTTCAGAATGGAAATTGAAATGTTCAGGTTTTCAAGTAGGTTCTGCTTCCAGTTCAACTAGATTTTAACTATTTTAATTCAACTACCATTTTTTATAATAAAAAATGATTTCGTCATGCAAAGTTACTATCAAAATTTATTCGTTTGAAGAAAAACTATTTTGAGGTACACCAAAATTTCCCTTCCACGCTTTTATGAAATGTATTTTTTGTATTTTTGAAGTGTCACTAGATTTATAATAATGAATACAATCAATTACAAATAATTTACTATGCACGTTATTTTATAAATGCAGTATGATTTATTTTGAATATCAAATATTATTCCACCATTTATATATTGTCCGAAATCATCATAAAAGTTTACAAAATAATTTTGGATAACCGTAAAGCGAAGTTGATCGGGATAGTTGAGGCTCTTAAGATATGAAACGAACGTATTGGATATATCGTGCATGTATTTCATTACGAATAAAACTTGAAAATTTGAAAGTTAAATACGCTAAATTAATCAAAAGTCTGATTACTGAAGTAGTTAAGATTATAAATGGCTGTAAGCCTAAAATTTCTAAATAGTTCAAGTAAATGAAGAACATGTTATTTGTTAACTTTTTAATATTTTTCTGTTAGATTAAAAATGAAACTTGAACGTTCAAACCTGTTCGAGCGTGTCTGAAGTTTTTCATGTCAAATGGATCTTTATAAAATATAAAAATGGTTTAAAATTCGTAATATTACAATTTGCCCCCAGCCCGTTACAACTACCCCCAATCGGGGGTAAGTTGTAACACTCGTCAGTTTTCCTTCAAACCCGTTTCTGCAAGAAGTCGTTACAGGTTTGATTAAAATTTTATTTGAAATCGATAGTTAATTGGAATAGTAACGCGAGATTTTCTGAATACCAAACAAGTAAGCTTTCATAGCCAAGAGACCACAACTTGTTACAACTAGCTACCCGCTCCCCTACACTACAAATTAAACTCAACTTTATTTCACTGTTACACTAACAAAACAGCACAAAACACTTTTACTGCAACTTTAGACTGGTACTTCAATGTCTGTCGCCTCATTAGATCACTTCGTACCACACTTTCAACTATACTTCCCCGATCTGCCTGTTGGCAGTGTTTATATATTGTAACGGAAGTCTCTAGAAGCCGGTAGGGAAGTCTTTGGACGTTTTTTGAAGCGACGCGACACCTCGAATGATCGCGAAACGCAAGTGGATTTGAACGTTACATTGGCCGAGTCACAGTCGACTGGCGAATACCAGCGGCGGCCGGCGTCATTTATTTCATGGGATAATTTACAACAATATTAAAATTGAATTTTATTTTTGATTATATTCTCATTTTCAGTTAACAATGAACGACTTCAGCGTCCATAGGATAATCGGAAGGGGGGGTTTCGGGGAGGTGTACGGCTGCCGGAAAGCCGACACCGGAAAAATGTACGCCATGAAATGCCTAGACAAGAAGAGAATAAAAATGAAACAGGGCGAGACCTTGGCCCTAAACGAGAGGATCATGTTGTCGTTAGTTAGTACAGGACAAGACTGCCCTTTCATCGTTTGTATGACGTACGCTTTCCACACGCCCGACAAATTGTGTTTTATACTCGATCTGATGAACGGTGGAGACCTACATTATCACCTTAGTCAGCACGGAGTTTTCAATGAGTCCGAAATGAAGTTTTACGCTGCGGAAGTTATATTAGGTGAGTGTTGTTCGCTGTTCGATTGTGTTTTGAAAGTTCGTTCCATGTACTTGTATTTCACTTGATTGTTTTCTCTTTCGTTCCGCTGTTCAGTTCAAGAACTAATTTGCATGCAGAGTGACATTCAACAGATGTCACCTCGAGAAGGTACTTTTGTCTTTCCCTTCTTAGAGATAATTTGTATTCGTCATGTTCGATTTATGACTTCAGAAACGTTTTCAAATATTTATTTTTTCATTATGATTTTGCCCAAGAATCATATGACTGAATGTTTCAATAAAATAAAATAGAAAACTGCTTGGAAGAGACTCTGTAAAAAATGATGTGAAACATTTCCGAGCTGGAATGTCAAGAAATTTAGGAAAGCACAATTCACCTCATATAAATAACACTTGAATGAGGTAAACTCTCCGATTTTGTGAAAGCTCCTTTCCGGGTTTTTTGACCGTGCTGTGCAGGTTTCTACCGGGGTGGCCACAGGAGTACCCTGTCTTACTTAGAGATGGCGGTAGTTGTTCGAAAAATATCGCGGTACTACTAAGTACACAATCTATAAAGTATATGTTTCAAGTTTGAAGACGCTGCGTTGTTTAGTATTTGTTTGGTAGTCATCAATAGAGAACGTTTTCGGTGAATTTGTGAAAATGGAGAAAATTGATTATTGTTATGTGGTACAATACCAAGGGGGGGGAAGGGGAATCCAAATTTTCCCAAAGCCACCAGCAAAATTTCCCAACTTTCGAGACATGAAAGCTATAATATATTAATTTTCTTACTTAGTTATCCAAATATTGGCTGAATGCTTATGCCCGTTAGGGTATGCACAAACAAAAATAAATTTTGATAATTATAACAATAATAATGGGAATTATTCTACTTTGGACCAAGGTCCTTGGTCTTCCACCATATCCAACATGTAATGCAAAGCCGTACTCTTTCCATCTGACCTGAAAGACCACTCACCATACAAACTAATCGGCTTCGTTAAGAAGCTGAGTTTATTTGGCCGAGTGTGAAATGGTGTGAGCCACAATAAACCCTTGCGGGTTGCGGTGGAGGGTCGAATAGGCCCACTCATTTTAGAATTAACCTAACTTAACACCTCGGTGAAATTATTCGAACTATTGGGGTTCACAGTTGGAAGGCACGTTCAGAGGTGGTTTATCGGGAGGGCCAACAGTGCAATAATATAAACACTATAAATACCCTGCGAGTGGTTGGTGACTCGCATTACTAGATTAGAAAGTGAAAGCACCTAAAGGCTGGCTTTCGACCGCAGTAGGTCAGATGACAAGTTTGCTGAAGTGCCTATTAGTAGGTTGAGGTCCACTCATAAGAGTGGGGGTGCATATTCCTTCAATAATATATTTATTAACTTGGAGATTTTGTCGGGAACTCCTAGGCTGCGAGAAATTATGGAGTGACTATTATGAAATAACCCTTTAGTACGTCAGTTCTTTGAAACAAACTTTTGTATATTAAAAATTTGAATAACGGACACTACTTTTTAATATCCTACTCATAATACCTTTTTTTTTATTTCCAGGCTTAGAACATATGCATAGGAGATATATTGTATATAGAGATTTAAAACCTGCAAATATTTTATTAGACGAACACGGACATGTTCGAATATCCGATTTAGGTTTAGCCTGTGATTTTTCCAAGAAAAAACCCCATGCTAGTGTGTAAGTAATAATTATGATTTTTAAAGTGAAAACAGTCATATTTTATTCAACTAATAATCCAAATTTTTCTGACATTTGATTCGGTTAAACATGAATTCGTTCGAAAACAATGTCATTTAGAAAATTCCGGATTTGCTGTTTATAAATTAGTTAATGAAATTGAGTACGATCATTGAGATGAATTTTTGTCCGATTTATTACGATATGTTATATTATCACTCCTTTGTTGTTGGGGAGTTTTCCATTCTTCATAAATAATGTTGCAGTTATAGACCAGAAAAGTTTTTTTACTAACTTTCTCTTTGGAAAAATGAATAAAATTTTGCTGCATTCAGTACCTTCATTTTTTCGCGTCTCAAACGTTTCAGATTTATCAAAAATTGAAGCCGTCTTGTCGATGGGAGACATTTAAGTATTAAGGTGTTTCAAAAGTTTTGTCTGTATTTCTCACCAATAGAACATTTGTCACTCAGGATCAGGCAAAAACGACCTTTGTCGACTTCTTCTTCTTCTTCGAATTCCGAGCTCACAATTTTTTTGGTGACGAAGTGAATTGACTTGCGTTACGTTAGCAAAAGGGCACTGATTCAAATGGACCTTATTTCGATTTAATTGAATAAGGATTCACTGAGATATTACAGTTTAAAGTAGACTTTCGAGAGCGGGCAAAACTTTTGATACATCCTGATCGTTTTGACAAAATTCACAGGAAGTAAGGTGAATTTCAAGCTCTGTCTTTGGATTACTTCTATTCTTTTTTTAAAAATGTCTTGTGAACCAGTTGAAAATTTTATATCGACTAGATTGAAGATTAGGTTATAGAAAATATTATACCTTTTTTCCGAAATTTACTATTTTTCTGTTATACAGCGATTTTCTTTAATGCCCCTCCCCTTTTATTTTTTGAACGGATCAACTCAAAAATTTGAAATTTGGGATAATGAAATTAACGCATGAATACTTTATTTTAAAGTAAAATTGACAGATGAAACTTTCAAGATGGCGGATGGGCGCCATCTTGGAAAAAAATTGAATTGAAAGGGGGGTCTTGTGATACATCTTTTTGAAGATGGAGATAAAGATGAAGATCGCAACCCTAGAATATGAAGTCAATACCTTCAACTACTACAAAATGACATTTAACTACATAATATGAGGTAAAAAGCTTGAGGTCAGTTCAGAAGATGCTTGAAATGGTTGCCTTGAACTTCTTGACATATGAACAGCCTATCCAATATTTCACGCCGAACATTTTCGGACACAGTAACGTCAATATCTCTACAAATATTTATTATTATCTGCCGTATATCCAATATTGAAGCAGGTTTAGTTTCGTATACCTTTTGTTTGAAATAGCCCCATAAAAAAGTCCAAAGGTGTCAAACCGGGCGAGCGGGCTGGCCATTCTGTAGGAACTCGACGGCCAATCCAACGACCGGGAAAAGTAGTATCCAAATGATTTTTTACTCGTCCAATATCCATATCGAATTCATTAAGATTCGCTTCGACGATTTCAGTCCCCCTTTCCATTCAATTTTTTTTCCCAGGTGGCGCCCAGTCGACATTTTGAAAATGTCATTTGTCAAGTTCGGTTCAAAATAAAGTATTCATGCATTAATTTCATTGTCCCAAATGTCAATTTTTTGAGTTGACCCGTTCAAAAAATAAAAGGGAGGGGGAATTAAAGAAATGCACTGTATAGAACAATGAATAATGAAAGGGATAGGTCACTGTACTTGCAACACAATTTTGCAGTAAATTTCACACAAACAATGTCTTCCTTCAACATCCGACTGTCTACGAGAATGTTTCTCAAAAGAAGTGTTATTCTTTTATTTTTCCAGAGGAACTCATGGTTACATGGCACCAGAAGTATTATCGAAAGGTACACCCTACGACTCAAGTGCGGATTGGTTCAGCTTTGGCTGTATGTTGTACAAATTACTCAAAGGTCACTCGCCATTCCGCCAACATAAAACCAAAGATAAACACGAGATAGATAGAATGACTTTAACCATGGTAAGTTTTGTCATCAATTAGTTATCAGAGTTCAGGTCAGTGCTTACATCTCTAGGATGGTTCAGCTCAAAACCGCTAATTAAATTATCATTTTCAGAATGTCGAATTACCTGATTCATTTAGCAAAGAACTGAAATTGCTTCTAGAAGGACTGTTACAGAGGGATATTGATAAGAGGTTAGGATGTAAGGGAAATGGGTGAGTATCCTGAGCAATCAGTATTAAGTCATCCTTTTCAATTAACAAGTCATTGCTGTTGAAAATCCAACATACCTTCTGGGGTTACCACTAAGTATATCTGTATATTCGGAAAAAATTGTGACGTAAGTCTAGTGTTTCGATTTGCCAAGGAAGGACTCAACTTTTCGGTACTGTTTCATATATCTGGTTACACGTTGCAACTGACAATACTAAAATCTATGATATATTCAAAACTGAAGAGACTAATACCACTGAATCTTTTTCTGCTAGTAAATCACTAAACTATGAACAGGACGAAGATTTGACCTATAATTATAATTTCATTACCTATAATTACCTATATTTACCCATAATTACCTATAATTTAAATTTCTGTTCAGAAGAGGTGAAGAAACAGAACACACATTTTTTACTGATATTGATTAGTAGCAGGTATACTTGCTTCTGAATACCACTTAGTCTTTTTCTGCTAGTGAATCATTAAACTATGAACAGGGTTATAAAACAGAAATTTGACCTTTAATTATAATTTCATTAACTGTTAATGCCTATATTTACCTATAATTATAATTTCAGTTCAGAACAGGTGAAGGTATACTTATTGTTTGCTGGTATTTATTGGCAGAAGGTATACTTACTTCTGAATACCATTGAATCTTTTTCTGTTAGTGAATCATAACACTATGAACAGGATTATAGAATGGAAATTTGACCTTCAATTATAATTTCATTACTTATAATTACCTATATTTACCCATGATTACCTATAATTTAAATTTCAGTTCAGAAGAGGTTTAGGAACAGAACACCCATTTATTGTTGATATTGATTGGCAGCTGAATACCACATAGTTTTTTTCTGCTAGTGAATCATTGAACTATGAACAGGATTATAAAACAGAAATTTGGCCTTTAATTATAATTTCATCAACTATTATCACCTATATTTACCTATAATTATAATTTCAGTTCAGAACAAGTGAAGGTATACTCATTTTTACTGGTGTTTATTGGCAGCAGGTATACTTGCTTCTGAAATAGGAACAGAACACCCATTTATTGTTGATATTGATTGGCAGCAGGTATACTTGCTTCTGAATACCACTTAGTTTTTTTCTGCTAGTGAATCATTAAACTATGAACAGGATTATGAAACAGAAATTTGGCCTTTAATTATAATTTCATCAACTATTATCACTTATATTTACCTATAATTATAATTTCAGTTCAGAACAAGTGAAGGTATACTCATTTTTACTGGTGTTTATTGGCAGCAGGTATACTTGCTTCTGAATACCATGAATCTTTTTCTGCTACTGAATTATAAAACTATAAACAGGATTATAGAACGGAAATTTAACTTTCAATTATAATTTCATCGCCTATATGCCTATAATCACCTATAATTATAATTTTAGTTCAGAAGAGGTAAAGGAACACCCATTTTTCGCTGGTATTGATTGGCAGCAGGTATACTTGCAAAAATACACACCTCCTCTCATTCCGCCAAGAGGAGAGGTCAATGCGGCTGATGCCTTCGATATCGGCTCTTTCGATGAAGAAGACACCAAAGGAATCAAGGTATCGTTTTCAAAATAATAAATGATCAATTCGAAGCGGAACAGATGTATACATGTTGTTATAATGTTTAACGATATCTGTACAATAATTTTATACTTTTCCTGTAGTAAAGCATCGATAGATGAGGAACAGAACAGGGCCAAGAACAGATCCTTGCGGAACTCGCCAAGATATCCTCTCAGTTCTGCTCTGTTGATTTTCTATGCGTACATACGGGTTTCTGTTGTACAAGTAATTCTGAAACCAATCAAGTATAGGTTTTACCCTCACACAAAAATCATTCTGCAGTAAAATTTAGAGGAAAACTCCACAGAATCATTGATAGAAGGGAACATGTTTCTTGATTATCAGTTTCACTTTGAATGTTAATTAATATATCAATAATTCTCAAGAACAATTTGCCTAGCCGTTTCTGAAGACCGTATGAAGGAGAGATACATATGTACAAGAAAATAAATATTTCGAAATAAAATCCAGATTCCATTTTGAAATATTTATTTTCTGATATATCCTCGATACAGATTTTGAAATCAATTATAATATTCATACTGTTCTGAAAAAAATATTGATTAATTATAAGGATCAACTTTTTGCTTATGGGAAAATTCATCTCTGGTCTTTAGTAAATGTTTTAATTTATCAGTAAACGGTTTAGAGTTTTCCTTGATTTTGATGATTGTTATTCTGCTTCAAGACTTGAAAATAACAATTACTCGCATCCTGCGCAGAAACACATCCTGAATGCGACAGTGGACACATACAGAGTCATATTATAAGTTTGTCAAATATCACTAGAATTGTTGATTCGGTAATTTTGACTGGAAATTTTTTTAAAAATTGTGGCTGTTGGAAAATATTTCATTTATTGTTTTTTCGTAGTTGACAGATGCTGATCAGGAACTGTACAAAAATTTTCCACTTGTGATATCTGAGCGGTGGCAGAACGAAGTGGCAGAAACAGTATTTGAAACGGTTAATTTTGAGGCTGATAAAACGGAACACAAAAAGAGGGCCAAGCAAAAGAAATTATATGATTTAGACGAGAAAGGTAAAAAATAAAAGGTGTTTTGTAAAAATATAATAGACATGACTGATATTTAATGAAAATCCATTATAACGTATTCAAAAAACACACTTTAATGAGAGATTCCCACTTTATTATGAGTGTAAATCTCACATTGAAGATGTTTTGTCTCACCAAAGTCATGAATCATTATTTTTTCAGAATCAGACTGCATATTACATGGGTACATAAAAAAATTAGGAGGACCGTGGACGTCCAGTTGGCAAATGAGGTACGCGAAGTTATACCCGAATCGACTGGAACTACATCCAGATTCAGCGAAACCAGAGTTAGTATTCATGGATCAAATCGAAGAAGTCAGTCAGGATTTGGTTCAAGTCAAAAATGAAAACTGTATAGTTGTGAGGATGAGAGACGGAAAAATTGTCCTAACGAATCTGGTAAGTCCTTTTGAACATGAGCAATATTCGGTTTTTTGTCTCCTTGATTTTTTTTGGTAATGATAAGAGGTCTGTTAAAAAAAAAAAGAAAAAAAAAGGCGAATTTTCATTTTTCTCAAAAAATGTTCATTCATTCATCAAACGCCGTCCTTTCATGGGTCTCTTCGATCTTAGGAACAGGAAAAAGTCGCAGGGGGCCAAATCTGGTAAATACGATGGTTGAGGCATGATTATGGTGTTGTTTTTGGTCAAAAATGGGGAATGTTCCTCAATTTGGGTTATTACAGCAAATGCAAGTTTGAACAAAATGAAGTTGAGTTCAATTCATGAGTTTTTCAAATTCACTTCGAAAAGTATTTAAATTGATGTTACAAATGTTTGATTTTGATATTTAAAGGGATTTGTTTCTAATTCACATATTGGCAACAGGGCCTATATCAAGTTGAAATAATTTATACGTGCCTAGATATTCTACTTTAAAAAAGGAAAATTATCTTTATAAATCAACAATTAAGGTAAAATATAAATTATAGTTCAATACCACCTCCATAAGCTACATAAACAACACTTGTTTTGTTATTAATTTATATAGAGGAAGATAGGTTAGGTGCACAAAATGTCATATGTCACAGAATGTCTCGGAACATAAGTAAACAGAACAGCATGCCTCTGAAATATGTCATCTTTGTTTGTCTCATACAGGTAACAGATTCATTGTCCTTTATTAGCTATAACCGATGTTGCCAAATGGTGAAATAGAAACGAATAGACAAGATGGCCGACAATGATGATGTATTGTCGGACAGCTCTGAAAAAGCGGAGATTGAACACTTTATGAAGTGCTGTGAGAACAAAAAATGTGGAGTAAAAGTTTGTATAAACTGTTTCGCGATTTATCATAAAAGTTGTGCGAAAAGGAACCAACAATTGAAGGTATTATCGGAAAACAAAGTGTGATATGCTGTGAAAAAACCGAACATAAACAATTCGCATGCCGGACAAGGAACGTCACATGAAAGTAACCCAGATACAGAAAGCTGGAATAGAATAAACTCAACATCAATGCAAAGTCCTAATGTCCAACGAAGTGATTTAGTACCTCGCGAGCAGATGACGCACCTAAAAAAAAATACCACAAAAGACAACCTATGGACATATTGTCGCCAAAACAAGCGTAAACAATAATAATCCAAATGACAACAATGATAATTTCGTGGAAGTCAAATATCGAAAACGAAACAAACAAAATAGAGTATACAAAAAGAATTATTGGCACAGGCCCTAGCGATGATATTTCCGAGTTCTCAGGACCAGAGCGAAAAGTATGGCTTTATTTATACAGAGTGAAGAGGGCTGCAACAGAAGAAAAAATAAAAGACTATATTACCAATAAACCAGGTTATAATAATGAAGTAAATGTGAAAGAGATCCCAACCACAGAAGATCGACTACGAAGATATGTAGTGACAGCACCACTATCGATAAAGGATGAAATGTACAAACCGGACTTCTGGCCAAGCGGAGTAGGTATTAAAAGATTTGATTTCACAAAACACAAAGATTATCTGAACCAACTAGGTGGAGATTTTTTACAGAAAAAGAAACACAGGAGGCCCGGCAGAGCAATGTTCTGTTGAATCTGGAACCGTATGATTCAAAGGAAAAAATTATTGTTTTTTATTTTGACGTCTTTTCTTTCAATGTTTGTATGTACCATTGTTATATATATAAATGTTTATATGAAAGAATATGTTATTATTATAGAAACGAATCCCTTTAAATGTTGAATGCATTATTTCATTACTCTCTTTTAAGCATTTAAATAATTTTTTAAAGAAAAAGGTTGAAATGATAAGTTTAGGATGCGTTGTTTTAGGGCTCTTTTATGAAAACTACTTGATTTTCGTCAGGAGGAACATTCCCCATAAGCTATAAATTATTTTCCACAATCCCGGACGTTTTCTTCACATAACTTCAAGATAATACTCCTTATTGACCCTTCTGCCATGTGCCATGTGGCACGTCATTTACATATTCTTGACCTGTGAAAAGCTTGTGCCACTTGTAAACATTTTTCTGACTCAGAGTACAATCACCGTATGCCACTGTCAACTTTCAAGTGTTTTTGAGCACCTATTTACTTTTTTACAAAAAATTTGAAGCAATTTCTTTGATTCATTTTTTTTGATAGCTGAAAATCACCAAACAGGCAAAATATTTTAACTTTTATGCCTCTCACCAACAAACTCATCATGCTAAACAGCTGAAAGGGTGCACATATGTTCGAACATTCACTTCATTTTTTGAACAGATCTCGTACAGTGTTCATTGAGCAGATAACTACATTGGGTAGGTATGAGGAATAAAGTCATATCACCATTCAAAAATTGGTGATGGCAGTTTTCATTGATTTATTGTTGAAAAGTGGATAGAAGTTGATATAATTTTCTTCCGAGAAGTGAATTGTCATATGTTGAATCATATGACTTTTCAAAGATAATGTAGAGCTTCGTCAGAACACAAAAATATCTCAGAGTTTCCACACAAATATAATTCTTTTTCCATAATCAATGTATCACAGGAGCTCAATATGATGACTAAAAAAAAAACCTAATAGAGCCTTGTTAGATTTCAGAACTATTTTACAGTTTTCAAGCAAATCTGAAAGTTGTATAATGAAACATGTGGTTCGAAGTTGGGAGGTTTCAAATTTCAATGTTAAAACTCTATAACTTTATGTAAAAGATGATTTTTTTTCTTGGTGTGAGATTGAATTCATCTTCTATCAGCAATCCTATTTCATATTCACCACTTTTGTACCCATAAGTACGTAGTTGAGTGATTTTTATAAATAAATATTACTGGAGTTTTTTTCCAACACCAAATCGTTATTTTTAACACCTCGACACGTGTTTCGATCACCAAGTGATCATCTTCAAAGAGGAAGATTAAAACTAGAAACTAATGCAAAGCTAACCCTATTTATGCTATATAGATATCCCATACAGGTAAATCATCCAGGTGTACCACCCATACAGGTATACCAACCTAAATTAATCGTAAAATTGTAAAATTAATTTAGGTTGGTATACCTGTATGGGTGGTACACCATGATGGTTTACCTCTATGGGATATCGATATAGCATAAATAGGGTTAGCTTTACGTTAGTTTCTAGTTTTAACCTTCCTCTTTGAAGATGATCACTTGGTGATCGAATTATGTGCCGAGGTGTTAAAAATAACGATTTGGTGTTGGGAAAAAATTCCAGTAATACTCATTACTACACCAAAGGTTCCAAACAGTGCATCATGAGTGATTTTTATCAAACCGAAGATATTTCTTGACAAATCGCTGTATAATGAATACTTTGTTTTTTCAAGTGGCCATACTGGCCAGTATCTCCATGTTTTTGGAAATATATTTCTGGGAAAATTTTCAGGACTCTAGTTGACTTCTTAATCGCTAGATTTCACTTGTAATTGAAAAGTGTGCCTCCGATATTTATGGAATTCCGGTAATTCAAAGTTATACAACCATGTGTATTCAAAATAGTTTCGGTCTGGTATATTTCATAATAATCAAGTAAGTTCAGACTTGACTGCTGAAATATTGAAACAATCCATCATGAAACATGTGTTATTGTTTTCGTATCACGTGAAATTCATGTTCAAAATAAACATTAGATTTTTCACGCGGCTTTGTATATATTAGAAGTAAATTCACTTGGCACTTTCCAATTGCATAAACTCGTCTGGTTGCATTGATTATGCAATTATTTATCATTCAGATTCACGAACATAACATTTAAACAGATCTGCTTGTATTCCGTTTCCCAGATCGTCTTCCTTATCGCAGTTGTTTATTCCCATCGATCAAAAGGTAAATGTCCTAATTATTCAATATATACAGTGTGATAAATTTGAAAATTCCTGATTGAAATGTTTGGGAAATGAAAAATGCATATAAGCTAATCTCAAAAAGGCTTTTCAATGGTACTCAATAATAGGAACGTTACTGTCAAATTATGATTACTCAAAATAATGCAATTTTTTCGAGTGCTCAATGTACATCCATCATAAAAGGGCGGTCATCAGGTAAAAATTCCAACGTTTCGTCTACTACTGCGGTAGACATCGAAGGCGATGAGGTAATGGTCGAAGTGCTAGAGTTAGTGCTACAATGCTGGAATTTTTCTCTGGTTTTATATTATCATAGGTGAGCGCGGCTTCGTTTCTCTTAATTGGATTACCGGAACTTGTTTGTGTACAATTAAGGACAGGTAGCAAGAATTTATTAATGTTAATTGCCTTTTTTGTCTATTGAAATCATCCGTGTATTTTTGAATTTCTATTTCCTCTCCATATACCCTTGAATGGTAATTTTGAGTTTTATCATGTATTACTCACTTACTTCTCTGAGAGCCTGTTAATTGTTATACAAAGAAGCCAGGCCCACCTACCGAAAACAAATTTCAGCATTATAGTTTCTGCGTTGGTAATTCGACCAAAGATAAGATGAGGCAGCCTTTGATAATGTCTTCCGCAATAGTAGACGAAGCGCCAGGCATAAAAACGTGCCGACCACTGTCAAAAAAAAAACGGAAAATAGCCTTTGATACTGTGTCTAAGTTATAAGTTTGATGTGGTAAAGTAAATTATTTTTGTTTCAAGGACGAAATTGGCCTTAAGGAGTGGCTCAACTCTCTGAAATCAGCGCACAAACTCTCCCAGGAGCTGCTTGGTTCGATGGCAAAGAAAGCGGGAAAAATTTACGGCACGGACTCCAACAACAGGAATGCCATTATAGCGGCTCGGAATACAAATGGCAACTAATGGCTGAAGAAAATCTTGAGCAGAGTGAACAGTTACCTCCGATTATCTGTAAAAAACGGTGATCGCACATCAGGCTATAAAGAGAATACCTAGAAGATTGCTTTCTTCTTTTAGACCCTTCTCGGATGATTTTAGATACCTACCATTGATTTGTTTCGTGATTCAGTAGCAGTTGCGGGACTCTGTATTTGTTAAACAAAGAGATGAGGAACATGACAATTGTTAATAACATAATTTAATGTATTTCGTAATTTATATTAATTTATGCATTTGATAGGTATTCGCTTCCACGCGGATATTTTTGTTATAAGTGTTAGTCATTTTTTTTTGATTGATGGTCGTGTTGTTTGTAGAAGAAAAAGGAAAAACTGTTCTGCGGTTGTAAACGAGAACATATCACGGATCGAAGACCAAGAAAGTGCATTGAACAATCAAAGAATTAGAATGAATCGAGTGATAGGTTTCTTTTCATGCAGAAGAGAGTTTTTAGGTATGAATTGAAGTATTCAGAAAGTAGAAGTTAGGTAAGATAGTGTGATCCGCTATATTCTAAAAGTATTTCTAAAAATGTAATGCAAAAATTAATTTGTAATTGTTACTTGAGTACATTGGGTTGCAATAAAAAGTCAGATTCTTTCAAATTTTGATACCAAACTAATATATCATGAAAAATGATCCCATGCTTTTTTCAAGAAGGGTTACTTGCGAACAGGATCAATTTTTCTCAAAAAAAAACACTAGAAGAGGATGAAAATTTTATCAAAACTATCATGAAGCTTGTAACCATTCAAAAAAATCAATTCTACAGAACAGTTTTTCCAACTACTAAGTTTGTAATTTATTGAACATATTGTATTGAATTCCATTTGATTTTATGTCGAGTAAGGTGCGAATGTGACTTTAAAAATTTGTTTGTAATGATTTTTTGTATATTTCTGAACATTAAAGGTTCATCTCACTGGTAAAAACACCAAGCTAAAGTATTAAATGAGCTTAACATGCCAGCTGCACTACTTGTATATATACAAATACTGTGTTTCTTTGAAGTCACTCTCCATTTGAAAAATATGTATTCTTTACGAGAATTCAAAAATGCAACACTCAAATCGTTCATTTTAACTGTAATAACAGAAATCGACTATGACTGATGTAGTATGATTTTTTCCATGAATTTTCTGTGTGATTTTCAAGAATTTATTAGTATTAATGCAAATCCATGACATTGATTCTTCTATAACTATTAGCAAACAAATGTCAGTGGTAGTTATTTTTCAATCAAAGATTTACTTGACTTTCATTATTATTTAACTCGTGAATAAATTCATACACCCATCTCAGGGTGTACTAATTACTGTGATAATTGGTATTTAATCATACGCTCACATGTATGAGCTTGCCCTCAAGCCTTTATATTATTCAACAAGCAGAGCAGAGCTAATGTTGAGAAATTGGTATTTAGGTGAATAGATTGGAATTTACTTAAATATACTTATACCTTAATGGAAACTAAAAGATACTGAAAGAATTATTTCACTAGTAAAAAATAGTATTCAAATTGTTAACCAGACAAAACACAGCATTCTATCTAGAACCAGTCATCTCCCTTTCAACCAAATAATAATAAACAACGACAGCCAACAAGTAAGAATTTCAAATGGTACCTAGCCCTTAAGAGATACAGACAAATGACTGAAAGGTGGATGTAGTACGAATTGCCGACCTTGAAATTACATGAAAAATTACTGCCTTCCAAATCTCAATCACACTGTATAGTTAAACTCGACTTTTTTCCACTATTACACTGCCAATACAACACAAAAACTAACTGAACTTCAAACTAATTCTCAAATGTCTATCGCCTCGTTAGCTCACTTCGTACCGCACTTTCAACTAGACTAGCCGCCTCTGCCTGTTGCTAGTGCTTATATATCTCGATGGAAGTCTTCGGAAGGCGATGGGAGTGTTCTCGAAGCACGCGACACCCGGAAGGATCGAGAAGCTTGAGCAGAGTTGAGCGCAACTCTGGCCAACTCACAGTCGACCAGTAAAGACCAGTGGCGGCCAGCCCGCCTTTGTTTTTTCAGGGGGTAATTTGAAACAATGTTAATATTTAGAACACATTTGTTTTTTTCATTTGGCTGATCTGTTTGTTATTAGTTGTCGTGTTCAACTAAATATTGAATACGCTAATGGAAAATGAATGCAATGAAACGTGTTAGGAATCACACGTTAAAAGGTAAGACCTCGTTAATCCTTAGCTCGCACAAGTTTCGACTTCTGAGGGTTGTCGTTCGTAGGGGTGCGATGACCATGAGTATGTTTCACCAGTATATAGATTACGCCATGCTTTATGCTAACCAATTGAAAAATTATAATTTGAGAAGTAGTAATTTTTTACGTGATTTGGCAATTCGTACTGCACTATTGTTCAAAATGTCAATACAAAATTGACGTTCATATGGAAAAATTACCATTCTTGTACCATTAATTGTAAACAGAAATAATTCGCAGATAATTAGCAGTATATTGCATTAGATATACGAATATACGGGAATGTATGCATATTGAAAGAACACTTTATTTTGCAATATAATTATTCATAAATTACAGCAGTGTAACAATTTCAAACTTACAAAAAAACAAGGAAAGATATATATTTTTTCAGGACGTTACTCTTTTTGTAATTTTTCTTGCTCATAAAATCTATACATTTTTATTGTTCGAGCGTACAAATGATGCAGATTCATCGTAAAATAATTCGATATGTTATGGTAAAGCAAAAGAATGATAAAATTTTTGAGCAGGAATGAAGGAAAACTAAAAATTGTTCCAATTAGGGTATATTTAAGGTAGTAATATCCTTTGAATGGATGATGGATGAAAATCATATTCATCTCCATGAAAACCATTTTCAACTGTGTTTGTCATCAGGCAGAACGATTACATTTCTTAGTGTGAAATAACCTTCGACAATCAATTCTACAAAGTTTATATTCCTTCACCAGACATGAGTATATGCTAGAGTAAAAAATTTCGATTTCATTCAAACCTATTTCAGTTTTTGTGGAATGACTTGATAGACCCACAGTATTCCCCTGCTTTTTTAATTCCATTTATCATTGATTTCAATGAATATGGATCAGTGTTCTGAATAGTTAACAGATCTGTTGTTATATATTTTTCAATATAGTTTTCCCACATGCAGTAACAACATCAGTGTTGGCATTTTAACAAAAAATTATAGAAATTTCATGCTTTCACCAGAATAGTTCATGAATCAAATTGAATTTATTCATATCATTGATTTCAATGAATATGGATCAGTGTTCTGAATAGTTAACAGATCTGTTGTTATATATTTTTCAATATAGTTTTCCCACAAGCAGTAACAACATCAGTGTTGGCATTCTAACAAAAAATTATAGAAATTTCATGCTTTCACCAGAATAGTTCATGAATCAAATTGAATTTATTCATCACCCAAGTCAGCACAAGTGTAGGTAAAAACACACGTGATATAAACTCGTTGAACTAGTCATAACGTCTCACATCGCTATTTGGGATTCCATACACAGTTATTATTAAAACTATAAACTTACAGTTCTTCAGATTCATGCTGAAAATAGTTGCACCAGTGTTTTCCAATGCTTTATAAATAAACAGTTGAGTTTGTAATCGATACATAATAGTCAGTTTTCATAAATATACACACTATTTCTCATTTGAATTCTTCTAGCAGAAAAAGCTGCATATATATACCTCATTAGAATTCAGAGTTAGTTCAGGGGCTTAATTATCAAATATGTATGCTTCCAATGTTGTATTACTTTGAGATTGTCATCACCCTCATCTTTACTGATGGTTCTTAAGGAAGACTATTGCAATATACTCTGATAGCCAAGCAGCTATAAAAGCAATTAGCTCCATGCAGGTCAATTCCAAACTGGTCTGGAACTGCCTAAAAAGCTACAAGAACTAGGTAGTCAAAACAGACTGTCATTAGCCTGAGTACCAGGCTGATGCTCCCCCATTGGCCCAGAACCCTTTTGTAGTACAGTAAAAGCGCTGCGAAAAACTTATAACAGCAACTGGAAGGAAAAACAATCTCAAAAATGGTGGAATAAGGCGCCGGGTATGAGACAGGCCAAAGAGTTCATTAAAGAGCCATCGCCAAAATTCACGAAGTACCTACTAAGTCTGAATAGGCGATCAACTAAAATTCTGGTCGGGCTATTGACGAGACACTGTAGACTCGACAAACACATGAACAACATTGGACTGGCAGACACAGCCCTATGCAGGCTTTGCCAACAAGAGGATGAGGAAACCTCCGTACACATACTATGCTATTGCGAAGGTCTGTCAAGGATAAGGTTTGCAACATTAGTGGAGGAAAACCCCTCTCAATATATGGGGAACTTGAGGTCTGGCCTATGGAGTCTAGTTACAAGGACGGGCCTAGACAAGGAACTCTAGCATACATGAGGGCACACAAAATAGACCTGCAAAGGTCGCAGTGTAGTGGCTGTTCAGCACAGAAGCCCCATATGAATCTAATCTACTGATGGTTCAATTTGTTCTTTTACTCTGTCTTCCTTACATATAAAAAAGAGATTGCCCATGTTTCTCTCTCTCTCTCTCTCTCTTTCTCTTTGTTTTCAAAGATATTTTTTATGTATTGTATTATTCAAATTATTTATCGAAGTCAAACTTTCCATAGTTTGACTCTCTTGGTAGAAGGTATTTTTATATTTGTCTGAAGACTGTATCGAGGAGAAATACATACGTGTAAGAAAATTAATACTTCGAAGCGAGATCTCGAAATATTTTTCCCACCCAACTACCTGCACTACTTCCCCGGCTAATACCACACTGGATATTCAATTTTATTCGACAGACATGCAAGATACCTTCCAGAGGTTAATCTCCCAGATGATTCTCGTTTATCCAACAGCAGGACCATGCTGAAATTATTTGAGTAGATCACCTAGAGACCAGTTTCAAGGTATTAACTCTCATCAGTGCAGGAAAGATCCGATTCAAACAGCAAAGTGCCTGAGACTTGATTCAATATCCTGCGTGGTATTAGCCGGGGAAGTGGTTGTTTTCCGGCAGGCATTTACCAGAACCTATAGTGTAGGCAGTTGGGAGAGTTAAATACTTCGTGATTTTATTTCAAGATCTTCATTTTCTTATTTTCATATTTGAAATCAACATCTACTAAGTCTCTGACTTTAGAAAACGATATGTCTTCTTTCCTCTTACTGTATATCATTCAGATTTTGAGCTAGTTCCTTTACAATTTTGTTCAGTGATATTTTTGAACTTTTTCAAACTCCATTTGATTTTATTTTTCATGATTTCATTCGCGATTCGATCTGAACTGATAAAAGGGGCAACATGTAATTCTCATCAGGTTTATCTCCTCGACCAGACTTGCTTATTTTTATTATTGTGTCTAGTTTTGTTTTTGAGGCCTTCATCAGACGCCTCATACTTTTTGTTCGTTCGATGATTAGTACAAAAATTTATATGTTCACTTCCAATTCGCAATTCCTCCTCTAGTAATAATTTTTCATTGAGAACATTAATAAGGCTGATCTATTTTTGATAATGGCTATCCATTTCCTCTATAACCTGTCTCAATAGTGAGTTTTCTTCCAAAACAAATGATTCTTCCAATATTATGGATTACTATGTGTACTTTACGATATACTGTGTCACATTTTACATTGCATTTATTGTTTTATTTCATTTGGAAACAAAATAGCAGGTTTTCATTTCAACTCAATAGATGAACAGTGAATGGACATATGTCATGTTTGTTACTCTGCCTACTAAATTTTTAGTGAAACTCCATAAAAACACCTATATGCCTGAAGAGCATAAGGACTATAGTGAATACCTATCCACAAGTAGTATAAAACACCAGTTGACAGCATATTCAAAATATTACATGCTGATGGAATTTCATTGTACCTCTTACTATAGTTGATTAACATCAACTTGAAAAAGTTTGGAAATTCCAATTAATACACTTTTCTACGCAATAAAGTTAATGAAACATTTATTATATTGTTCTAACCAGTTATAAAAATTACAATAGTACAATCAAAAAACAATAAAAATTCAAACATTAAAAATGAAACGACGAGTTTTCTCTTGGAATGGACAATCAAATTCCTATCAGCTTCCAGAGACTTCCATTAGGATATATAATCACTACCAACAGGCAGATGGGGCTAGTCTAGTTGAAAGTGCAGTACGAAGTGAGCTAATGAGGCGATATTCATTTGAGAATTAGTCTGAAGTTCACTTGAGGTGTTTGTGTTGTATTGGCAGTGTAGTAGTGAAATAAACTTGAGTTGAATTGTAAAGTGTGGTCAATTGTTGTCGATACCACGGAAAAACGTAACAGTATCTTAGTTTTGTTCTTAATTTTTGTGTTGAGCTTTTATAGTACTTTGAATCATTATGAACATCACTACCTGACGAATCTCTACATGATAACTTCAACTCATAAGACTGGAGAATAATGACAAACAATTTACCTACTTTCAAGGTTTGTCCTAATTACTAATTTCCTCTTTGCAAACCAAATTCAATAAAAAGAAACAATTCAAATCTATTTGATCATTTATCAATAATCTCGAGTTTTTACATCTACTGATTTCTTAAATATTCCAAAATGTTAAGTTTTGAACCTTTCTCTTCCGAATGCATTACGTCATGATCGTGATTGACCACGTGCCCCTGTCAGAAGATGACCCGCTGATGTTGAATTTGTCTTTCCATTCAAAAAACTACCTCTATGGTATTTTATTCTTTTAGAAAAAGTTCTTCCGGTTTGTCCCCTATAAAATTTCGGACAAG